ATCTTGTCTGATAAATATTCCCTGAAAAAATGTGCAGGCACAAGTCTTGATGATTTTCCAGCTATTAATTTCCAGTTTAATTACACTGTGGTCAGAAAATATACTTTATATGACTTCAACTCATTTAAGTTTGTTGAGACTGGTTTTTTAGTTCAGAATATGGTCTAGGTGTTCCAGGAGTTGTTGAGTAGAATGTGTATTCATTGGATGGAATATTCTATATATGTCACTTAAGTCAATTTGGTCAACGGTATTCTATACCCATACCAATTTTTTCATCTGCTTTCTCAGTTACTGAGAGGGGAGAATTCATTTGCCTAGTTCTCCTTTCAGTTAGATTGTTTTTTTTTTTAATTTTTGAAATTAAAAATTTTAATTAGAAGCCAATTCTCAGAATCTAATTGAATATAGTGGTTTATTTACAACCTCAAATCCAAGATTGAGGAGAGCTCTGGGGTGGTTCCAGACAGGGCTTTGCCAGTAACTCGCTGGAAACTTTAGGCAAGTGTCCTTACCTCTTGGTTTCCCCTCATTTTCTCCATCTGTAAAACAAGCAGGTGTTATTGTCCAGCGTCTAATGGTCCTTCTGACTTCAAAATTCTGATCTCTTCCAAGTCTCATTCCCTTCTCTAGGGTTTAGCACAGCCACGGGTTATCTCCACAGGAAACCTCTTTGCCTTCCGCTAAATGATCATTTCTTTTTCTAGACTTAGCCTTGTCTTGGGTCCCCATAGTTCCAGGCTGCACCCTCTTCAGCAGGACTCCACTCTGCTATTTCCTTGACAACTCAAAGTCCTCCTTGATTTTGGCTAAGTGCATCATGTGACCGATTGACCGACTTGTTACAGGAACTTACTTTCCAGGGGGCGAATTGATTGGCTGATTTAATGCCTCTTGATGAGCCGGATCAACTGACAGGTGGAATAAACGTGTGTACTACTACTGAGTAACTCACTGGGAAGGGACTAAGGTAGAGGAAAGCTGGTTAGCTCATGTATAACCAGTTCATGAGGTGGCCTCTGAGTCCTCAGCCTCACCAACTTCCCAAAGGCTAGAGGTCGCGTGGAGATGCCGCACCGCCCTCGCCCCCCAGTCCAGCCCTTCAGACGAACCAGTGAGCCCTCGCGAAATCTGTCCAGAGCCAATCAGGGAGGGCCCGACGAAGCGCGTGGGTGCTGTTGGGATAGGGAGGGAAAGCAAAGTAGAACCCTTGGTCTCCTTCGCCTGAGGCAGATTGGAACAACCGGTGGTTCCTTGATCTTGAGCAGGAGGTTCTAGACTGGGGCCCCTAGGTGGCTCAGTGGCTGAGTGTCTGCCTTTGACTCAGGTTCTGATCCTGGGGTTCTGGGATCGAGTCCCGCATGGGGCTCCCTGCAAGGATCCTGCTTCTCCCTCTGCCTGTGTCTCTGCCTCTCTCTGTGTCTCTCATGAATAAATAAAAATAAATAAATAAATAAATAAATAAATAAATAATAAATATTTTAAAAGGAGGTTCTAGACTCCTACCAGCCCTGAAAATGCAGGCCAATCAGGCTTTAAGAGATACTCCTTCCTCAAGCGAGTACCAGGTGATGGGGTGGATTGAAAGCCATTAACCAAGGAAGAAAATGCCAAGTGCTTGATCCTTAGGGCCAATCAGAAAGCATCTTGTTACCCCATTTCCTTTCCTGCAAGCAGGTCCCTATCATGAACAAATCAAGACACATGAGGAAGACCCAGTTGTCCATTCTCTTGTCAAAACTCACCCCCAACCTATTCCCAACCCAGTTCCCATCCTCTCTCCCATTTCTCTTCTAGATGGCATTCTCCACTCCTTAGGAGCCCGCTTTCTGAAATTACAAAGATGCAAGGAAATAACCTCCTTGAGTAAGGATAAAATTTAAACTGCTCACCCAGAGCCTTTGAAGCCTTGAAGGGTCTGGCACTTTCCATCTAAGCTCTGGTACACAGACTCCCTCTGGGCTCTTGAACTTACTAAACTTCATTCATCCCAGAGCCTAGAATCTGCTGTCCCTCTGACCAGCCCGTAATAATAATCTTGGTTTCAGCACAAATGTCACTTTCTCAGAGAGGACTTCTCTGATTCTCTAATCCAAACTAGGTTCCTCTCCCTGGTCTCTTATACTTTCTCATGATATTAGGCTATTTTTCTTCCTAGCACTTGTCAACATTTTAAGCTGCAATCTTGCATTTATTTCTTCATTGTGTACTTGTGTAGACCACAAGCTCAATGGAAGCAGTGCCAGTGTCTGTCTTGGTCACCTCATTATCTCATTATGGTGGATGCTCACATTTCTGTGGAATGCGTGAGCTGCATGCCAAAGGGACGCCCATACATGTGAGGGCTTATGTAAACATCTGCCCTTGAATACAGGATGACCATCACATTGGTGCTGGATGGAGAACCATTATATTTATTCACAAAAAATGCCCCAGGGAAGAGATGACCCTTTTTGCAACCTCTAAAAACTACCATCATCTGGATCCAGAAGGGAGGATGTCATCCATTTTGAGGGGAACAATACACAGTCACAGTCTATTCTCATGCCAGATTCTTGTTCTCATTCCTTGTATGCCTGACTTTCAGCCTGGCCAAGAAATGTTGCACTAAGTAGGCTCTTTGCCTCCAGTCTTACTTTTTCTAAGTACATCTTCAATAACTACTCTTAGAATGATCTTTTACTGTGTAATCTGGCCACTAGTTCTTTTTTTTTTTTTAAGTAGTTTCAGTGGTAGAATTTAGTGATTCATCAGTTGCATAAAACACCCATTGCTCATTACATTAAATGCCCTCCTCCATGTTCATCACTCAATTATCCCTTCTTTATCCCTTCTCCTCACCCACCTCCCTCCAGCAACCCTGTTTCCTAGAGTTCTGTGTCTCTTATAGTTTGCCTTCCTCTCAATTTTCATCTTATTTTATTTTCCTTCCCTTTCTCTATATTCATCTGTTTTGTTTCTTAAATTCCACATATGAGTGAAATCATATGGTATTTATCTTTCTCTGAGTGACTTGTTTTGCTTAGCATAATACCCTCTAGTTCCATCCAGGTCATTGCAAATCAGAACAGTTTGCTTCAAACCAGCAACAGTTTATAATTCACTCAATTATTCTACAAACTTTTTAAATATTATTCTAATACGGTTTTTATTTTTTAAGTTTCAATTCAATTTGCCAACATATAACACCCAATGCTTATCACATCATATCACATGCCCTCCTTATCAACAAACATTTTTGAGAGTCTTATATTCTAGGTACCATTCTAGGTGTTGGTGGTATAAGCAGAAAACAAGACAGACAAGATCCCTGTTCTTGTGGAATTTATATTCTAAGGGAATCAGGATTAAGATCCTGGAAGATAAAACTTCAATGCTTTATCTTGGCATTCAGGGACTGTCTTTGTGTCTTTTCTCCACCTGCACCTCTGGACACCACTTTTAACTCACTCCCCACCCACGTATGCCTCAGGGCAGTGGTGAAAGGTCTTATCCAAAGGTATACAGCCACTAAGCACTGAAGTTGCTACTCAATCTATATATGATGGTTCTAAAGTCTGGTGCTGTTATATGTATATTCCAGGTTCTGAGCATACTGTAGGGGTTCAAAGGCTACTTCTTGGTGGATTATAGTCTCACATTTATTTTGCCTTCCTTTGACACCACTCCAGGCCAGGGCATATTTCTTCTAGTTAACCCGAATTACAGATCATAGAATTTTCTTTGAAAGGTTCTAAGACTAGGTCCCAGAGTAACCCTATTCAATGGAGCATCAGTGTGAGGGACAGATGGGGCTTGAGGGAGCTTGTGAGCTGAGGAGACTCCAGGGACTAATAGACTCCAGGATTTCTGGGGTTGCTGAGGATTCTGTGGACTTTAGTAATTCCACGGACAGGGGACTCCAGGTAGGCATGTAGTTTTCACAGGCTTTATCAGTTCCAGTTTATCTTGCTTTTTCTGGAAGGTTAGGTAAGGGATGCTACAGAGCAGGGGCAAAGAAAGAAGATATTGGAATGGGTCTAGAGGTGAGGTATTCAAATCTTAAAAGGAAAGAATCTTGTCTCTCTCTTTAAGTACAGAATTATGGCAATGTGGAGCAGACATTGGCTTCACCTTTTCTCAGAATCTCATGATTGGAGTCTGTGACCCTGTCTTTCCTGCTGGTTCTCTGTGTGCATTCCCGGCACCAGGAGCCCAGACCCCTGGGCAACCATAACCCCATCTCAGCCCAGTTACTTTAAGGCTGCCTTCCCACCGGCCTGATTGCACTCTGAGGACAGGGCCTGAGTCTCATCCATTTCCGACACCCCAGCATTGCCCAGCATGGAAGGTAGGAGATACTGCAGGACACTTTGGTAGAATTTAACAGATGTATGGTTTATCCACAAAGGAACACCATATCCTAGCACAGTGTGTAAGGAGGACAGCAGGGCATTTCCAGTCCTAGAGAATTATAGAGAACTTTAAATTGTAAATAATACTGAGGCCTGTCTCTTCCAAGCCCTGCTGAGGATGTGGGGTCCAAGGTAAATGAAGGAGTACCTTGGCTTTGGCATAGTTTTCAAGCATTTCAGCCTAACTTGGGCTTGTGGCATCTACAGATTGTGTTGACCAGTCTGCCAGGCACTCAGAGACCAAAACCTTTAGTTTCCACTCTGATGCCACAACCACTCTTAGGGGCTCTTTCAACCTTCTCAATGTGGATTCAGTGTGAAGGGGTGTGTGTATGTGTGTGTACATTGCTGATTTGAATTAGTCTTTATTTGTCTTAATTTTCATCTTCCCTTCTTTGGGCCTTAGCTTCATCATCCATAAGTGGTCTGCCAGCACATTCTGGCATTCTAGATGCCCTATAGGATTGAGGATGATAATTCCTTTAAACACTGTCTGTGTTTCTCTTTGTGAGTCTTATTGCCACTATTCTGATAGAGAAGATTCCAGACACAATGGGTAGCCACCAATATCCAGTTCTCTGAAATTGGGGTGATTGTGGATTTTTCTTATTGCTTAGGCTTCAGAGACATCTTGGATTCTTGGCTTGCTCTGACTTTAGGGCTCTTTTCTGCTTTGATGGCTATAATTTTCTTTGCCAGCTTCATTCTGATAGGTTTCATTCTAAGGAAATGACCCCTTGATCAGTTCTGGCTCTCTACCTCCATGCCACCGCCCCCCCCTCCCCAAGGGCTCTAATCTTGACCAGAAGTTCTGGTTTAGAGCCTCAATGACACCATTGGCTTGGTGTGTTATCAAGGGCAAGCCACACAGCCTCTCTGTGAATTGATTTTGTCTTCTGTACAATGGGGAGACCTTGCTTATTAGCTCTGGGGCTCAGATGAGGTCAGCTATGAAAGGGCTTTACAAACTGTAAAGGATTGTTATTGGTCTTTAAGTACAGCTGATTATGCTCTAAAAATAGCTCCTCAGTTTGTCCTGCCACCTTATGTTTCTTCCTTCTCACCCCTGATAGCCAGTCAGTCCCCAGTCCCATCTCTCTTACTGCCCCTCATCACTTGCCTGGCTCAAACCTGGCTCTTTGCTGTGCAGTCTGTGGCACCAACTTCCTGCCTTGTTTCAGGCCTTTGGGCTCTTGCTCTTTGATTTGTGTACAGACACCTTGTATGAGGAGCCTTCCTTTCCAGTTTAGCACTGTTTCATGGCTCCTAATTGAGGATCAAGTCCGAGATACTTGCACTGGCCAGAGGCCCCCCTGCCAAACTCTCTGGCCTGACCTCTGGCAACTCTGCCCTTCTCATTCTGGGCTTCTAGCCAATACATTTAGTCAACTTTCAAGAGTCTTTATAAACTAACACCAAGAAGCTTTTTCAACTTCAGTTTTAGCCATTTCCTCTCATTCTCAATGCACCTGACATTGCACAAAGACACTGTCAATTCCTCAAATGTGTCTCTGGGGTATGCATATACTACTTTCCACCTAACAAATGAGTACTCAGCACCCCCGGGACTGCTTCAGACAGCACTCCGGGGACTCTGCTGGCTTCTCCAGAACTGTCACTTCCTCCTTTGCTCTCTCCTTTATGAAATTCACTGAAAACCCCTGTCCCTTGGACCTGTTTGTGGCTCAACATAGTCCTGATGGCCCTGGACTGTAGCAACCATGTTTGATGCCTTCTTAGCTTGCCAGACCCTGAGCTCCTTGTGGGGCAGAGGTCCTGTCTTTCCCTTTCCATGCCAGCACTGCAGCCAGGGCTTGCCAGGTAGAATTTTAGCCTTGGTACTCACATGAGTGGGATGAGGCAAAGGAACAGCACTGCAGTTGTAATGGCTCTATAGACAACGCCCTGGATCAGCCCTTTCATGAACATCGTGGGAAGGAAAGAGCTCTTTCCTGGAAAGAGAGAGCATGTGAGAAAGGCTTCTCTCCTGAGGCCTTGGAATTGGAACCAAAGCTCTGCTCTCTCCCCCTCCCACTCTTCCTCACCCAGTCACTGGGCCCCCTCTACCCTTACTTGGCATCAGTAAGCATGGGTTCCCTTTTGGTTCTTCCCTTTACAGAGAAGGCTTGTGCTCATTTTTGGCTGCTCTGTCAAACTGATGGTGCTGTTGGCCCAGGGGGCAATTATGATGGAAGTCACCTGGAGTCTGCCATCTGTGTTGTTCACACCTACAGGGACACTGTCCATCAACCACTGCACAGAGGGTGTGGGGATCCCATGGAAAGAACAGCTGCACTGCAGTCTTCTCCAAGGAACAAGAGGAATAGAGCAGCCTGGCAGGTGCTGTGGGGAGGTAGGGACAGCATTTAGCAAGGAATCCTGACTTCCTTTCTCCATTTCCTCCAGGACCCAGCCTTCTCCTCATTCATGATTCCCAAGGAACTTCAGAAGACTTTCTGGAAGCCCAGAGGAGCCAGGCTTCACAGACCAGTTCTCCTTTATTCTCTCTCTTCACCTGGACCTGACTAATGGCAAGGGAACTTTCTGAGGATCTATATTGCTTCTGACCCCTTACCTGACTTCCACTGCCACCGCCAGGTTAGACTTCCCAGTCTCAGCTCCTACTTCCCTCTTCCTTCCATCCCTCAGGCTCTACTCCTTCTTAGATCCACCTATGATCAATTTCTCTGTTTCTTACAGTCTGGATGCCGTTGGGCAAGTCACTTCTCCTCTCTCTGCTCTTTCCCAGTTTGAAAAATAGGGGTATTCTCTGAACCTGTGTCATACTATCATGGATGTAAGAATGAATGCCCTAAGGTTGGCAGTGTTCCTAGCTGAATATATGGAGAATGGGTAACAGAACACCCTTCTAGACTTCTTTCTTCCCAGTCCAAGGTGACCTTTGACTGAGCACTCATCCTAAGCAGAGATTGCTATGGTATTTTCTGGGTAAGAATATTCAAGACTGCCTCACTCTACATAGAATAGGTAGGCTATGTTGTCCACTGGTGACTTGCCAGTTAATAAGGAAGGAATGGTTCTTACTGTTTCCACACACTTTTTCACTGGAGTTGTTTGAGGTTACAGGAAGAAAGGGGTGATTTTTTCTTAACCAGTAACCCTTGATTTGGTCTTCTCATCTAGGTCACTTGAGGGAATGAGGAATTTGCAGGGACTGTCCTGCACTGCTTGTCCTCTGGATTATTTATTTTTACCATCTGGGAAAACATGCCTGTGGATTACAGACATGGGAAACCTGACTAACCCTGGGCCTTCCAGCTCCTAGTGCTCTCATGCTTTCAACGACCATGGCTGAACACCCACCCTCACCCCCAACTCAGCTCCCTGGCCCAATCTGCTGTTCACCCCAGACTCTCCCAGCCCCACCAGGACTCGGCACACAGTCTAAACCATGTTGGTTATTTGGTACCCTACACCCTTATGTCCTCTTTCTTCACACCCCCGCAGCCCATCCACCCCAGTCCCAGAGCCTCAGACAGCTCCAGCACTGCCTCTCATCCCACTCACCCAGCTGCAGCAGTGGTACTGCCATCTGTAGCAGCCGGCAGTCCTCAGGAAGAGGAGGTGCTAGGACCTTTGCCGCAGCTGGCTCTCACATCAGAGCTGTGTGGTCAGAAGGGATGAGATGATGAATAACTGGAAGAGGATGTGTGGTTGGGAGAGCAGAAAGTATTCTTAGCAAGCCAGGGGCTTCTGTCTCTGGTCATCCCGGAGGCCTGTTCACTCTCAGAAGCAGGAATTATGTGGGATGGGATATTCAAGAGCATCTAGGGACAGGCAGCACACCTACCACCTCTGAGAGGCCTCAATGCCACGTGTCCTTCTCTCTCCTCTGGTCTTTCCCTCCCAGTCCCAGCCCACTTGGGAGAAACTCAGTTACTAGGGCCTTTGGGTTCTGTCTCAAAGCTAATAGGGATTCACGGAAGGGCTGTGTACCTCAGAGGGTCAGGGCCGGTCTGGGTGTTTGGAATAGCCCATTGGGGCCACGGGAGAAATGGTGTAGACCAGAGCAACTCAGGTCAAATGGCCAGGGAGGAACCTGGAGAGGTGGTCAGGAAAGAATGACATGCTTGCGTTACTGAGTGGGCCGTGAGGATGGAGAGGATGGGGTAGCCTTCACAGATCCTTTGGGAAAACAAAAATGGACAGGAATTCCTACTGCTCATAGGAAAAGTTCCAAACTTCCTTGCTGTGCAAAGGAAGGTTCTCTGAAATTTTCCCTAACCCTTGCTTTTCTGTCTCCCTGTGCCTTTCCCAACATTTTCCATGCCAAAGAGAAAACGCTGCCTTCTTTAGTGCTCCCCCTAAACATTCTTCTCCCATCATTCAGGGATTTCTCCCTTTCACAGCTATTCCTCTTGCAACTTCGCTTCATTCACATTCACATCCTACTTCAAATTCACAGCTGAGTTCAGTGTCACCTCCTGCATGCAACCTTTCCTGATCTTCCTACCCAGTCGCAAGTGGGGAAATCTTTCCCCTTCCAGAATTACCACATTATTTCATTTGTTGTCTTTTGAGGAAAGAATCAGTTTTTTCCTTCTACTAAAGTTATTTGTTTTTGTGCAGCCAGACAACTACCTACCTTGCTCTTCGTTACAACAAATCCAGCTTTGTTTAGGGGTGCGATGCTGCAAGCTAAAGCACCACTTTGTCTAGATTCCTTTGCAGTTAACGTGGGACACATGATATTCTTTTAGTGGAAGTGAGCTGAAGATTCCTGGGGAAGTCTCCCTTTCCTAATATTGTCATTTCCTTCTTCCTTGTCACTTCCTTCTCCTTCCTCCCTAAAATATGGATGTGCTACTAGAGGTAGAACAGCCACTTGGCAGCCATGAAGTATCTACAACGATGAATGCCGCTCATGAAGGAACATTCTATTTTTTTTTAAATATTTTATTTATTCATGAGACAGACAGACGGACAGAGACAGAGACAGAAGGAGAAGCAGGCTCCCTGTGGGGAGCCTGATGCGGGACTCGATAGCAGACACTCAACCAGGCAGCACAGCCTACCTCTGAATATGTCCTTACATGAGGAAGACAAACTCTCATTTGGTTAGGTCACTCTAGTTGGGAAACTAAAGAAAAAAAAAAGAAGAAAAAAAAGAAAAGAAATAACTTAGTAGAGAATCTACCTGAGACTGAGCTCTTTAAGGGAAGGCTATATACAACAAATAGACCCTTGTGACCTCAGAACAGCTTAGAAAGTGACCTTTGATAGTCACTGATAAATGTTCAAATGTCAGTCTCACTTTTCATGAAATTATCTCCCCCCCCTTTTTTTGGCAAAGCATTAAGAGCAGGAGCCCTGGATTGGAGCACTGATTGTGTAAGCTATGTCACTGATTCCCCAGAGGACCACAGACAGATCCTTTCCCTCTCTGGGCTACAAGTCTCTCATGTCTGCATTAATTTCTGGAAAAGGCAGGATGAGGGGATGTGTCCTTTGTCTAGATTCCTTCCTGTGTCCATCTAATATTCCTTGTGGCAGACACTGCTGGCTTCAGACCCAACAGGTATCTCGGCACCATTGTCCCTGTTGCACTGTCCCCAATACAGAGACTGAAGATAATAAATAGTAATGTTCCCAGGTTCCCTTACATATATGTCCTCGTATTCAGGTAACATGGTTCTGGTCAAAGAGAAAAAAACCTTTCCAACCAAATTGGTATTTTACTGTTCAGAAAGGTCACTTAAACTTAGAAGGGAAAAAAGAAAGCAAAACCCTAAAATTGAACACAAACAAGAGGTAGTAAACAAACACAATGATAATAGAACAATTCTGGAAGAATATCTATTTCAAATAACTTTTGAACACAGTGCTTTGGCTGTACTGTCTAAAGGGGGGACAAAGAAAGCTATCAGTATTGGTATTGTAATTTTGAAACTATTTATGTTTTAAAGATTTGGGATCCCCGGGTGGTGCAGTGGTTTAGCGCCTGCCTTTGGCCCAGGGCGCGATCCTGGAGACCCGGGATCGAATCCCACGTCGGGCTCCCGGTGCATGGAGCCTGCTTCTCCCTCTGCCTATGTCTCTGCCTCTCTCTCTCTCTCTCTCTCTCTCTCTCTGTGTGACTATCATAAATAAATAAAAATTAAAAAAAAATTTAAAGATTTTCACAGTAAGGAAAAAGAGAAACAATATAAAATACAATAATTTTTTTAAGATTTTATTTATTTATTCGTGAGAGACACACACACACACACACACAGAGAGAGAGAGAGAGAGAGAGAGAGAGAGAGAGACGGGCAGAGGGAGCCTGATGTGGGACCTGATCCCGGGTCTCCAGGATTACACCCTGGGCTGAAGGCAGGTGCTAAACCGCTGAGCCACCCGGGCTGCCCAAAATACAATAATTTAAGAGAAGAAAGTAAAGTTTGATTTTAATTGGCAATATCAGTACAAACCCGTGGTTAAAAAACAAACAAAAAAATTCTATTTCCATGTTTTGTTCACAGAAAGAGCCTAGAAGCAATGAGACATCCATAGCAATAAACATGCCTAGCACCTAAATCTCGGTTTCTAAATAACATCCATCAATGTGCTGGAGCTTGTGTGAACCGGCTTAAGGAAGCTAATTATTAAATTTTTAAGAATGTTGCAAACTGGGTGTCAAAAGCACAGTCATTACTATAAATTAAGTTATATAAATTCATAAACAAACTATGTTAAAAACAAAGGTAATAATTACTTGAAACTGATTAGTTCCTAATTTGTCTAGTACATTTTACTGTTATCTGTGTTCTTGAGGTTATTTACATCTATTTAATCTGTATGATGGAAATACTACATAATGGTGTGCTACTGGATCTCTTCTTAATCCTGTATCATGAATTGGTAGCTTGAAACTGTCTATGGTGTGGGGGGGTGCTGTTTGGCAATGCTACAATTCAGGGCTTTCTTTTCTCTTTGGAGATCCAGTTATTAAATATTTACTAGCATACCGTTGCTAATATTTCCCACTCAAAGGAACTCATTCATCTTGGAACAGCCTTCCATAAACCGAGCAGCTCTTTGTTGGTCATTTGAGAGGTACTTATTGCTACCATCCAAGTAGCAATAGGATCTGGCATCTCCTCAGGTGGTAAAAGAGGGAAAAAAAGACCACCTGCTTGTGAATACAATGAATACCTCCTCATAATCCCTTGGTAGCATGTTCCTCTATAAACCATTTCCATTTTATTACTAAACTCTTCTGGGCATAGCCTTCATTATTAGCAAGTTTATCCAACATTACCAAAGATATCATGAGTATTTCAGGTTTTAGGATTATTTTACTTCCTTCAGTTCTTATGGGCAGTTTCAGTCAAAGCCCAACAAGCTAGCTGGTTGTCTTTCAAATGGAAATTTTCTGATTAAAAAGAAAAATCCCAGAGATCGCCACTGGGTGGTGCTCACTGGCTTTTGTTATAAACTGCAGTTTCTATAAGGACTTTAAAGACCTCATTCCAGCAGCTTTATGGTTAGGGGCTAGCCATAGTCCCAAATGTAGAATATGTGTCAACCAAAATTGAAATAAGCCAATCAAACAGTAGGTATCTGACATTTTTTCTTTTTTCACCAGATAGCCTATATTTTTCAAATTAACAACCTGTTTGGGCTTGGGCAATTTTATTGGTTCCCATTTAGCATGTCCAATCAATATTGGTTGAAGGGAGGATTTACATGCCTCCTGTTTCATAGTGCTAGGTAAGGGAAATGTCCTCTAGTAAGACACGGCACCTACTTACATTCAGATAAAGGAACAGAGAGACACAATGGCTTTACATAAAATCTGTTCAAGTATTCCATTTCTATCTTAAACCCTCACTTTAACCCCCTCAATACTTGTATTCCCGTATCTTCTCAATCTGACTAATTCTCACCAGGACTCACAATGCATGGGGCACCCAGCTTAAGGAGTCCCAGAAACATCTCTTCTCCAGACCATTTTACCACTATATGCCTATGGCTTTGAGTCTCCAGCTGAGCATGGAGCCAAAGAACCCAGGCCTTTTTTTTTTTTTTTTTTTACCAATCTTTACCTTGATTAATTATGAGATCATCACCTCAGGCAGTTTGAAGTTAGAGTCCCATTGTCACATTTGCCTTCTGGCTTTTGAAACTCCTCCAATTTAGAGTAACTAGAATAGACTTGATTAGGATCCTTCAAAGTTGAGGGACCATCTGGAGCTCCCCCTGGTCCACCCAAACTCCAAGAGCACTGTTCTAAGACCTCTGTTTTAATCCCATCAATGTCCATTCTATTTCTTAATAATGGTTTGAAGATTTTCTTCTCTTTGGGATGAATCCCTTTGTTTTTTTTTTAACATTTTATTTTATTTATTTATTTATTTATTTATTTATTTATTTATGAGAGAGAGAGAGAGAGAGAGAGAGAGGGAAAAGCAGGCTCCATGCAGGGAGCCTGACGTGGAACTCGATCCCAGGACTCCAGGATCACAACCCGGGCTGAAGGGAGGTGCTAAACTGCTGAGCCACCCGGGGAATCCTGAGCTACCCGGGAATCCCCGGGATGAGTCCAATTGA